CGGTCTCCCAGGCAGGCCCGAGAAACCGATGGACATATGGCTCGGCGATAGCGGCGATGTTGATGGACCACTGTGCCATGCTCTGGAGCAGAAGATCCTGAGCATCGGCACCGTGGCCTACGTTCACCTGGAGGATGCGGAGATGTGGATCCATCACTGGACTTCCATCCCCGCATCCCGCAGCGAACTTTGCGGCTGTCCAGCGGCACTCTCCGTCTGGATCAGCGGCTCGGAGGCGGAAGGTCGGCCTCCCGGCTTCGGTCGCGATAGGGCACAGGCCTTACCACCAACCCGGTGGTCGGCAGGCTTGCCCCCCGCTGCGCACCTAAAGCAACGCAGCGGAGCGTTGCAGCCACCCGCCTTGTGACCGGGCTGGCCACAGCGGAAGCATCGGTCACCTACGGTGGCCTCCGCCGTGCAGTGCACCCCTACGTGACCCACCGACAGGCACCTGAAGCACCTTGCCGGTCGGGCCTGCAGGAGCCGTGCCTGCGCCCTCAGGAAACCTCCGACCAGGAGGCTCCGTCCATCGGCGACCTTCTGGGCCGCCGCGATGGGGCAGCTGACAACCGCTGCCCCCTGTCCACCGGGGCCGAAGCGTATTGCTCCGGCCTTCACGCTGTCCAGAGGGCAGCTTCCCGTCTCCGCCACGGCGAGTCTGAGCTTGTCCGCCGTGACAGAGTCGTCCAGGCCCGTGATGCGGACTTCGGCGCATTTAGTGGGCCTGGACACTCGGACGTCAGCTGCATCCAGTGACTCCCTCAGCTTAGCCGCTAGGGCATCGGCTTTGGGGCCACTGGTAGCGCCGGCTACCTCGAGGAGACGGGCTCCCGTCCGTGTGTTCTTACACCGGACGCCCGGAATTTCGAGGGCTTTGAGGTCCACGTTGGCCTTGACTTTCGTCAAGACCTCGGCGTACCCCACGCCCCTCTCCGCTGCCTCCGCCGTCAAAGTGATAACGACGGCCGAGGAGCGAGGGGCGCGGAGCTTCCTCGGCGCTCCCTTCGCGGCGGCGGCGGCGTCCCTCCTCGCCTTCTTGGCCGCTTTTTTGGCGGCCTTCCGCCTCTTTTTGTTGTCCCCGGCCACCGTCCAGCCCCGCTCCAACGAGCGCTGTGCGGTGTCAGCCGGGGCCGAGACTGGGGCTTGGGTTGGGGCCGCCTTCCCCTTCCCTTTGCCCTTTCCGGTCTTCTGGGGCGGGGGGGCTGATGACGGCCCAGCCACCCTAGCTGCTGGCTGGGCTGTTAGGCCCGCCCTGGCAGCGGCCGCATAGGTTGCTCTTGGCGGAGCCAGAGGTGGGCGACAACGGGCGCTCTCTATTGCAGAGATGCGCCTCATAATTCGCTCCTCCATCTCCGCCACGAGTCGGACTAAGTCCGGCTCCTTAGGGGCGGACAACGCCACAGGTGCCGAAGACGCTGGTGTGGCACCAGCGTGGGCACGAGCCTTGGCGAGATCCGCCTCGAGGCGGGCTCTCTCCCTAGCGTGGGCCTTGCTCTCGGCCACGAGGAGTCGTCCCGCCTCGATGATGGAGCGCACGACCGCTACCAACGCCTCCTGTTCGGGACCCCTGGCTACCCCGGACGTCTGGAGCAGGCAATCGGCCACGCCGATTGCCTCCTCGATCTGGTCCACGGGGTTGCCGGTTTTGCCTCGCAGCTCAACGAGGCCAGCACCCCCACCCCCGCTCCCCACATCAGTGGTCGACATCTCGGACGCGACCCCCTCCTCTCTTCTCCGTCCCAGACCCCCATCTTCGGCTCCTCCCAGCGCCGCGGGCTGGACCGCCACCTTTTTCCGGGCCACCATGGCCTTGGGGAGTCGGCCTCCGCCGCGAGCGCCTCTGCGGCTTGTGCCGACTTTGGGAGCCGAGGCCTCATCGCTCGAGGCCGACTCCAATTGCCTCTTCAGGCCCAGGCGAAGCGAGCGCCTTTTGCGCTTTGGAGTACCCTTCTGGTGCTGCTCTGCAGCTGAGACCATCGGGGTACTCGCTCCGCTCCTCTCCGAGGCAGTGTCGGTGTTCGACACTACCTCCAGGTTTTTCGCGTCCTCCGCGATAACGTCGCCGGATTTACTGCTCGGCGACGGGCAGGTTCGACATTTGGTGCTCCCCCCAGAATACGAGTGGGAGCTGCCGGAGCCGTTTGGCTCCGGGAGGGATTCCCCAGACACTGTGTGTCCGGGACCCTCCTGGGTAGATTTAATAATCCTTGGCCTCATGTCATGTTTTTTAGTTTAACGATGGAAAATTGCCTAGGACTCATTACTGTAACTTCAAAACATTCCTTTAGTTTCTTAACAGAACCCTCAATCAGCCAACAACAACCTCAATCAGGTATCTTTAGATACCAGTAATCCATCATCAATATATAACAGCAAGTGCAATGGAACTTCATACATAAAAAAACATATAAACATTTGTCACTTTCACAGTTTATAAAATTATTTTCTTTCATGAATGAGTTAAATCTATGATTCCAACACCTGGGTGACTGTTTTAAGCCGTACAGTGACCTTTTAAGTTTACAGACCAAACCATTTTTTTCAACACCAGTTGGTGGCTCCATAAATATCACCTCATTCAGTCCCATACAAAAAAGCAGCCTTTACATCGAATTGAGTTAATCGAAGATTTTCTTTGGCTGCCAGTGGTAGCATTATTCGAATAGTATCATAGCGTACTGTGGGCGAGAATGTCTTTTCATAGTCAATCCCCTTTTCTTGTGAATATCCTTTGGCGTACAGTCGAGCTCTGTAACGTATCTAACAGTGTCATCAGCATTCTGCTTGATTTTGTACACCCACTTGCATCCAATCAGTTTCTTATTTGCTGAACACTCTACAAGCTCCCATGTGCCACAAGCTTCATAGGACTCTGGTGACGATGTACATAGCCTTCGCATCATCCTTCTTCTACTCAGATCGGTCCCCGCCGTTGTGAAGGAAGAGGTGATGTGATTGCCCAGCCCTTTGGCCTGCAGGGCAAGTTTCGTCTAGAACTTCCATTGGCGATAATTACTGCCAGCAAACCTCTTTGCTGATGCAGTTATGCCGAGACCTAACTCAAGGTCCATGGTCCATGCACCGACACAAAACCGCCGCCACAGAACATTTTTTTTATGCACTCGCGATGCCTGGGCCCATAACCTGTTGATATTTATGGGTTCACAAGCAATAAAAGCACTGAATACACTAAGATGTCTGATCTTAGTGATGATCTTAGTGTTCGCAACGCATTTCTAACCTTAACAATGGCGGTGCAAGTAATAACTGACAATTCAAAATAGAGTTGTGTAGCTCCTGAGTGAGTGATATAAAAGATATATATCATTCACGACGATAAAATGTATCACTCACTCACACTAGCTCCGAATATATCAGTAACTCAGTACTAGCTCACTAGATCACTAGCTCAACGACGCCGATCTTTGTTTCATGAGCGAGTGAGACTAAAGATAAATGAGTGAGATAGATGATGGTTGAGTTCACGCAAGTTTCTTTATGCAAAATGTACATTATTTCTATAGGATCAAAGTTTAATATTACTTAAGAATTAAGCCAAGTACAAGGAAAATAAAATTATGTATGATTTCTATTATACAACCTAAAAAAAGTACAAGAAATAATTTCTTATTTTTAATTATTACGTAAAAGGGTGCTAATAATTATGTAATCTTATCAAAATGAATTAAATTGTATTTAAAAAAAAATAGGTTAAAAATGTAGTTTCAAAAACTGAATTTAGGTTAATATGAAAATAAAGAAAAGTTTGTATGGCGAGAGAGGCTCAAAGTGAGTGATATACGAGTATACTGAGCTAAACGATCTAGATGAAGAAATGAATTAATTGAGAGACCAATCAATTTAATCGGATCAATGAGCTAGGGAGCTAAACGAGTTAGTGAGGTAAATGAGCTAGTGAGCTAAACGAGTTAGTGAGCTAAATGAGCTAGTGAGCTAAACGAGTTAGTGAGCTAAATGAGCTAGTGAGCTAGATGAGTGATATATATCTTTTGAGCGAAATGATATATATCAATCTTTTCAGCTCAGTGATATATTTTGCGCATCACTAATTCAAAAGGGGTTCACACAGTGAATAAAACTATGGCGCCACAAGCGCGGGATAATTTAAAATAAATAAGTACGCATTTCTAACCTTAAGAGTCACAATAATAATAAGTTTTAGAGCAATACCTTTTTAGCACAATGTAGGTGACAGTGGCATTTTAGTAATGAAACTAAAAATGACCTGAAAGTGTGTGCACTTGAACTGCATACTACTAACCTGCTTTGATATTGTATATACATTTTAAAAACACACACATGACATCTTTTTAAAAAAAATGTCACCTACTTAAATGCAACTAAATCGTGACTATTAGTTATTAAATATTCTTTAAAAAAATGTTTTAAATTGGTTCACAAACAAAGATATAAAATAGAAAATGCGATTCATTTTCACATCGGGCATGTCAGATCCTTCACTATTATTGAACTTAACATTAAGATCAGTTGGAATGGTCCTACTTTTACAAACATCCATACTAAATTTATTTAACAAATTTGTGATGTATTCAAGAAAATCTAACTAACCCCACAAATTGCTTAGGGCTCATTACTGTAACTTCAAAACATTCCTTTAGTTTCTTAACAAAATCCCTTTAAAAAAAAATGTTTTTGAAATTGGTTCACAAACAAAGATGTAAAATAGAAAATGAATCAGGTGAATGAAAAACCTTCTTCACGTCATTTAAAAAAAAGATTGTATTGATAGTATGACAATATTAAAAATGTACATACTTATTTAAAATCTTTGCTGACAGAAGTGTCATAAAATAATTGTTTATTATAATATTTAGACTACATATTTATTATATTTTTTTGCTGACAGAATAATAAGTCATTAAATTGTTTTTTTTTAACAAAATTTGACCAGGGACCAGGTGGTCAAATTTTGTTATTACACACATTGGTTGTTTAAGATAATTTTTTTCTTATTTCAGTTCCATGGGAATCCAGATGATGATTCAACCAGCAGTAGTGAAGATGAAGAAGGTGCAGAGAATCTTCAGAATGACGTTAATGTTGCTGTACCTACATCGTCAAATGGCCACCAACACATTGAACCCATGGATGAAGATGAAGTGGAACCAGGCTGGATGGTTGTTCGAACAAGAAGAAGGAAATAAAGTTATAATTGTAGTTTGTTTTTAATTTATTTTGTTGAGCTGCACTGAAATTATGATTATACCAATTATTTCTTAAATGTACATGTTCCTTTATTATATTTGGCACAAACAGCATTGGAAAGACACTGACACAGAACACTGAGTCAACATAGCATAAGTTCTAATTTTTTTATAATGTTTGTTGTTTTAATGTACATTTCTAATGTATACTATTATTGTCTATGGTATATTTAGAATATGCACAAAATATAGTTGATCAACTTTAAACAACTGCTTGCTGTAGCTGATAGATATTAGTTGGGCCTAAAGATTTAACAGTTTTGATGCTTTAGATGATTCGCAAGTATAGAAATAATGCTGATAGAAGGGAGAAGGTATTGGATTGCCTGTGAATGGATTGCTTGTAAGTGGAATAGCGACGCGTCAACAAATCAGCGAAGAGGTGCGAGAGGGACGCATGTAAATCGCCGTCTTCTTTCTCTTTCTACCAACGTCCCTGGATCGTGGCTCGCTTCTATGGTGGCATGTTGTTGTGTATCTGACACTTTTAAGTGAACATTTTCTATGGACCTAATATATTTCATCAATCATCATCAACAGCCTTTAACAGTCCACTACTGGACATAGGCCTCTCCTTAGAAAGGAGGTTTTGGCCTACTATACCACGCTGGCCAGACGGGTTGGTATAGGGTTTGTGTCAAGTTTTCCTTCTCTCTGCAGTGCTGTTGTCCTGCGTATTTCGCTCCCTTAGTCGTCTCTTACGACACCCACGGGATGAATAGGGGTGGTGACACTCTGTATTCTTAATCCGTCACCACACGTTATATATTTAGAGATGTAGCATCTTGTGGTTTAATTGTAATTATTACGAGGGTGCGTTTTTAAGTTCGCGGAAAGAGAGGGTTGGAGGGGGGTAATTAGGCTCATTAGAATCGTCACGTGTTCAGTGACTCATAATTAGTATAAATACCAGGTTTCATTGTTATTAGACAATTAGTCTTTGAGTTATCGTCGTAACCAAGCAACATAATCGGGAGTGAAAAGTGAAACATGGAAAAAATCGAATATCGTGCCTTTATAAAGTTCCTTACCAAGCAAGGAAAATCAGTTGCGACCATAATGAATGAGATGTCTTTGGTTTACGGCGACTCTTGTCCAGGAAAAACCATGGTGTACAAATGGCACAGTTTATTTAAACAAGGAAGGGAATCCCTTGAAGACGACCCGAGGCCGGGCAGGAGCATCGAGGTGATCACGCCAGAACTTATCCAAAAAGTCGAAAGAATTGTACTCGACGATGCTCGACTAAAGAAGAAACAACTCGCAGAAATGGTTGGAGTATCTGATACAACCATTTTTAGAATTCTGCACGATCATTTTGGCATGACAAAGGTCAGTGCAAGATGGGTGCCGAGAATGCTCACGCCGACGCAAAAACAACAGCGCGTAGAGTGTTCACGTGCATTTTTAGACCTTTGTAATGAAGACAAGGATGCTGTATTGAGTAGAATTGTTACTGGACACGAAACTGGGGTTCATCATAATGAACCTGAGTCGAAACAAGACTCCATGCAGTGGCATAAAAAGGGCACAGCACGTCCCAAGAAGTTTAAGGTGTCACAGTCAGCTGGGAAACTCATGGCAACGGTCTTTTGGGACTCGGAAGGAATATTATTGATCGATTATAAAGGTGTTTCTATAACCGGAGAATACTACGCTTCAATATTAGAGCGACTCAAAGAAGCCATTAAAGAGAAAAGACGGGGAAAATTGACAAAAGGTGTGTTGCTTTTGCACGACAACGCGCCCGTCCACAAGAGCCGCGTTGCGTTGGCTACCCTGCATAAGGTGGGCTTTAATATTTTGAATCACCCACCCTACAGCCCAGACCTGGCCCCCAGCGATTATTACCTGTTTCCAAAAATGAAAAAAGAGCTGGAGTAAAAAATTTACCAACGATGATGAAGTCAAGAAGGCAGTTTCGGCGTATTTTGAAGACAAAGAGAAAACATTTTTTTATGAGGGTATGAACAAATTAATTGAAAGATCTGAAAAATGTATCCTTCTTGCAGGTGAATATATTGAAAAGAATAAAATAATTTGGTTTTTTTCTTTCCACCCCTTATCCCCCATTCCGCGAACATAAAAACGCTCCCTCGTATGTAAAGCTTAGTCACAAAATTCTTGGATTTTTATAATCTGCTATTCACTGTTATTGAGGAAAAATCTTGATGACATTTTATTGTAAAGAAAAAAATTTTGGTATTAGCATGCAACCGTAATATAAAAGGATATATATATATTTAGTGCTAAGATTGTTGTAAAAGTTTACCTTTATATTTACTTGGAGGTAGCAAGCAGTGTGTGGATCAAACAGAGTGCCAGAATTTACATAGCAAGTTAGATATAATAAAGTCTCTATTTAAGGGCTGGCGATGGTAGGCCACGAGAAACTCCAGGCTCGAAATTTTGACCTTCACTAGACCTGAACCGACTAGTCACCATCAATGCGACAGACGGTCCGCTTTGCAGATGATGTCTCAAAGCATAAGGACTGGCCACACGCCGGCAAGTATCATAACTGATACAAAATCGCTCCTAGAAGCCTGTGAACGCCCTAGGAAGCTTCTGCGCTTCTGGATGGAGCTGAGTTGGCTCACCTAATCAACCTTACCACGACGCATTTTAAAGGCAAATTCAGGGATGGCTGAATTTCAGCCCATCCACAAATTCCAATCAATTCTACTAAAAATATAAAGCGTGAGAACGCAGGGGGATTCACTTGTTGCCACCTTTATTAATTAAGTTTTTATTCAATAACATTTGCTGCCAACATTTCTTCCATTTTCTTCACTTGATTGAGAAGGGGTTCCTTATCACTAGGTTTGTAAAATAATCAATAGTAGTATCTTGTTTAATATTCTTAGCAAAGATTTTATCGATTACATTTCAAAATTGTATTAGCATTAGTAAAGATGGAGTGTAAAGCTGAGATTTTACCTAATTACTGTTAATAAAGTAAATGTTGCGCTCTGTATTCACGTTTCAGTAGCAAATTCACTACAAATATATGAATTACTAAATATTTGGGTTACTTATGTTGTATTCCAATGTGTCTATATTTTTATCATAAATATATAAATGTTGTTCCATTTGGTTTGTTTTATTCTAATTTTCTAAATCATTATCAGCCTGTCGCCGTCCATTGCTGATTGAAGGTCTTCCTCAAGGAGCGCCAAATATTCCGGTCTTGGGCTCTCCTCATTCATCCTCCGACTCCAAAGGCAGCAACTTTTGACGACTACTTTTGAGTTGCAGGTTTCCATGGGCGGCAGTAGTTGCTTACCATCAGGTGACCCGTCTGTTCGTTTGCGCCCTTATACCATAAACTGCTGCCTGCTACTTTCCTCAAGTTCATTTTCTACATTAACAGTAAAAAAAAAATATGCTAGGATTCCTTATTTAGATCTCTGAAACATTTTAAGCTCTTAAGCTTGGAGCATAGACTCACTTTATTAAAGATAATGATGCTGTACAGTATATGCAACAACAAGTATAATTGAACGGAATTATCAAACAGGCCATGTTATGTAGTACCCAGGACCGTTATTTGGAGGGAGGTGCGCGTACCTCGATTATTCCACGCGGAAAAGTGTAGAACTAATGCTGGAGAGCGTGCACCTTTTCGCCGAATATTGACAACGTACAAATTGCTACTGAAATTCTTGCTGATCATTGTCATTTTTTAATTAACTATCTATCTTATATTATAAAATATAATTCACCGATTGTGTATGGTGCTCGTCCGATACATTTTCTACTCCAGCTATAAACTCGTGGACAATAGTGTGGGTTATACGTTTTAGATATGTAAGTTATAAATAACTTGTAAAGACTGCAATGCATAATTGTTTTTTTTTGTTCAAAATAAATAAAATCCCAATATTTTAATTTTTCAATCCACAAACGGTAATGGAACATATGAATAGCCAATCAGTGACAACAGCAGGGAGAGAGATGCATTCCTTTTCCTTTCTAGGGTATACCTGGTTCCCCGGCTATTAGTACCCGAGACGGCGTGCGGTTTTAGTTGGTTCAAGTCCGACATGGAACCGACAGGTGGTATCCGAGGGGATTTCCGCACGGTAAAAAAAAAAAAAAAACAAGCGAGAGAGATGCAAGACCAAAACAATCTTCTTTTCTCTCCACCAACTTTTGTTACGGAACCTACGAGTATATTATTCTGTGTGAAACGTAACAAATATGTCAAACGTCACTAATGTCAGTACAATTTTGAGACTTCTTGCGCGTATTTAGTGTGTTTATTTCTGAAACAAAACACCATAAATGTGAATTATTTATTAAAGTGGTAAATAGATGAAATAAAATATTAATCACAAACAATGCCTCTCACGGCGCGACAACGAAGTATACATAATAAAAATGGAGCAAAAAGGGCTACAAGTTTTAGTAAAGGGAAGCGGAAAATAAGCGAAGGGTTAGTCCTAAGAACTTTATTATTAGAAGAAACGCTAAATGTAATGTAATGCCTATTTATAATTTTTTGTTTTAATGCGCTTTTGTTAAAATACTTGGCATAATTTATAGGTTATAATATTTTTATTTTGGCTCATCAATGTACTAATTTGTATCTGGTACTACAGCTTGGCGCTTATCCAGATGTTTCCGTATTCAAACAAAGGTAAAACGGTCGTCCTACTTAATTTAAGCATGATGATACTAACAAATATATTTTCTTTGTTAGTCCTAATTTTTGTGTTTTTTTTTGTTAGGAATTGTTAGGAAACCTAAATAGAAAATGTAATCGAGTTATTGATGTCTCTACTAAGCCTAGCCTACTAAAAGTAAAAAAAATATGGTAATAATTGCATATCTATAAGTATCTAGGTATTATTTGGTAAATAAAAGTTTAGTGGAAATCGGATTGGGGTTTCTTGAGCTATGTGTATGTTTCCCATTAATCCACCATCTTCTTACAACTTTCATGTTGTTTTAAATATTTTGTACATTTATCGGAGATGACGGATTAAGAATACGGAGTGTCACCACCCCTATTCATCATGCCAGAGTGGTATAGTAGGCCAAAACCTCCTTTCTAATGAGAGGTCTATGTCCAGCAGTGGACTGTTGATGATTTGGATATGTATTGGAATTGTATATATTAAACAATTGAGTATCTATTATTAGTTTATTATTAGATTTCCTAACCCCTCTGACTAATCTAAATACTTGTGTTTTTTACTTGTTGCAGGTTTGAAACCCATGAATTAATTTGCTTACTCAATTGCATTCATTTAGTTCGTAGTCATTTTTAAATCAATATTGTAACGAGCGAGTGATAATAAATAAAAGTTGTCAATTAATTACTTTATTGCACTGTATTTACAAACACTCACTATAATAAACAGAACAACAACACTCACTAAACAAAACACAAACTATAATATGCACTATAAATTCATTCCTATGTTAATTTGCGGTGTCGTTAAACGATACTGTGTTGTACGGCCACCACACTCCGCTTTTATAGCTCTATAGAATTTACTAGAAAGATCCCTAGTATTCGATAGTCCGTTCCAGACTAACAAGAATATTCAAGAATCAGTCACGCGTTACTTGCAGCGCCATCTAGCGCTGTAAGGATTAGAACTATTTACCAGAATCTTAATAGATGTACTTTACTCTATACTAGACGGCGCTGTCCTGGACATGCCATATAATGCTGGAACAATTGAACTATTTTATCCTATGGCGCAACAATATAAATAAATTTATTTAAAAAATATCTCTAAGTTATGAATTCATGGCATAGGTGTACCTATGAATATGTAGTTTTACAGTTTGTGGTAAGTTACAATTTTTAACTTATGCTTTGCCACATGTACTACATGTAACTTCGAATAAAGTTTATTTTTTGAAGCCTTTGATGATGTAATTATCGAAGGAGCAATGTAGTGAGCAAAATTTGTTGGAAATATTATCTTGAGAAGTTGAAATAGAAAGAATAGCCATTGACATTACCGCATAGAAATATTCAAATTTAAGAGAAGTGGCAGAAAATACCTAGTATTACATCATGTGTTTTTGATTTCTGTGTTTCAAATAGAACATAGGCTATTATTTGATTTGTGATTTATGTATATTTATATTTTTTGTGACATCATTTTTGCAACTCATTGTTACTGTTCAATCATCCCCATGTGTAATTTATTTAAATTATAATTGATTCTTATTTTGTCTTTTATCCTTTTATTCAGTATTCAAATTAATTATCATTAGTATGAAGCATATACCTATGTAAATACCATGTGAGCATAAACACAATGGTATTTAGTAAGGGAACATACTCATTCTATGTGACCTATTCAGGAGGAAAATCAGAAATCTTCAAAATACCAAGTGGTGGGGACGGGCTTAAGTTTTCGTCACAGAGTCAGTAACATATGGCAAGTGCTACATTAATAAAGACAGATATGAACCATTTTGTTTTTCTTTTTCTTTTTTCACTACGTGAAAATGAGAGGGGAGGAGTAGGTGGCCAAATATTGTTTAAGATGGATATGGTCCCTGATATGGACATGGTGTATTTCAGTCAGAACCACTAATACAATGGAATATCAATGTCTTTTGAATATTTGTTACTTTATTATAAGAATGTCTGTTCACAGAGAGTTCCTGGTAACAAATGCACCGTCAGACTTACGTACCATAGCATATCCCGGTGGTGCTGTGGCCTTAGCCTTACTCCTGTTTGCTCGCATCTTATCTGCGTATTATGGCCAAATAGCAGACTGTGATGAAACATTTAATTATTGGGAACCATTGCATTATTTAGGTAAGTATTTAATATCATAATAATATGTATATCTTTTTACAAAATAGGAGACTAAAGATAACCTATAAATGAGAACAAAATATTTGTATTTATATAAAATTATCTCATGTTAAGTTGAAATCATAAAATTAATAATAATAGGAGTAAATTCTATCAGCAATTCTCTTGTTATTTTTTGTCCCTAGTACCTGGGAACCGTACTTTTTTTGTAGATGAAACGAATATTTTTTTGGTATAGGGACAAATGAACAGACAGCCCAAATGTGTCCCGTATCATGGCTCTACTACCACCATTACCAGCATATATGACTTTTCCTGTAGTCTTACAAATTTTATTACATTATGTTAAAAAAATAAAAAATTAAGGTGACAGCAGTGTGGCTTTGAGATGTTATGCCAGAGTGTTTAAATGTTTACGCCCTATAAGCATTCAAACACAACTTACTAATATAAAAATTGTTCGAAAAAATCAACTAATAAATGTATATAATTGTGTCTTTTCAAGTCTATGGAAACGGTCTTCAAACATGGGAGTATAGTCCTGTCTATGCCTTACGTTCTTATCTACCGCTATGGTTATTCGCCGTACCCGCTAAAATACTGTCGTGGTTCATGACTCCAATCACCGTGTTCTACTCATTAAGGGTACTGTTGGCTGTGCTGAGCTCGTGTGCAGAATTCATGTTTTACAAGTAAGTGGTTTTGGTAGTTTCTAAATTACTATCTCCAAGGTTTATAGTCATCACATCATCACGTTATATATTATTGTTACTATTTCGATGTTAAGCTGTTGGTTTTCTTCTAATAAATAAATAAATATAAATTGTACTATTTTGCAACTAGTATCACTAGCACTGCATGTGCAAAGACATTTCTAGATTGTATAATATTTTATATTGGTCTGCAAAAAAGGGTTTCTATCTGCCTATAAATAGAAGGTCCTTGCAACGTGTTTCCCAAACTTAAAAAACTAAACTAAAAAAAAATATACCGTTATAAGTTTTATATTATTTTCGTATCTGACCCAAGGATTTGTTTGTCAACAGAGCGGTATGCCATGAGTTCGGTGTCCACGTCGGTCGGGTGTGGTTAATGCTAACCTTGCCGGCTGCAGGCATGTTCATGTGCAGTTCAGCCATGCTGCCTTCTGCATGGAGCAGTGCGTTAATCAGCGGCGCATTGGCTTGTTGGTGGCGTCGAAGATATCCACCGGCCGTGTTGCTTACTGCCGCTTCGGCTATTCTTAGTAAGTATACTTCGACTAGGCTTCTACTTGGTAAAAGCTTATTATTGCGTAATGTAGCCATCAATTAAAATGTCTTTCGCTTCGTCTAGATTCCGCTAGATGACGCTGAAATAAATTTTATGTTCTATGTCACTACAGGCTTTATGTGAACTTGGTCGTCATTCTACATATTTCTTGCTCATTTTATGATTCTTCATAAACAATACTTACAATAAAAGAAAAAATTACAAATTCTGCACTTCAGTCAGTGTAAGTAAAGTAGCATTCATCATTTAGACGGGGTTTTAGACTTTTTGACCATTGAGAGGAAGATATATTTAAAAAACCGATCAAGTACGAGTCGAACTCGTGCGTCGAGGGTTCAGTACCTACCCAGATTTTACGTAGATTTTCGTGAAAATTTGTTCGTGAAAAAGGTACCAAAATTTATCTTAATTTCAACTTTTTTTGGAATTATTCTTTTATTTGTGCTGTAAGACGGGAACTACCATATAAGTTTTCGACCCAAAACCTATAGGGTAGTTCCGGTTGACCTAGAATTGTCAATTTTGGTTAAAAGCAAGGTCTTACAGCACAAGTAAAGAGAAAATTCTGAAAAATAAATAAAGTTGAAAATTAAGGTAACTTTTGGTACTTACAAGTTTTCGCGAAAATCGAAATTTGCCCATATCTTTTTATCCTGTTGACTAATAGGGACCATAGACCTCAGCATTTGGTATAAATTTCAACTAGCTAGGGCTACCCGTTTCTGAGAAAAGCGATGGTGACAAACGGACAGACGGACAAGAAGAAGTGATAAAATTATCATTTTAATAAAACTTTTGTCCTTATATAATTGTTATAAACATTTAATAATCATTGGTCTTCAATACCAACTATTATTAGAACCTTCTAAAATACACTGAAGTGTTTACTTGTTGCAGGTTGGCCATTCACAGCACTTCTTGGTCTGCCAATCGCAATAGACATGTTGTTCATCAAACGTCAAGTTTATGACTTCATGAAGTGGTCAGCCATTGCCCTTCTCGTCATTCTGCTGCCGACCATTGCAGTCGACTCTTGGCACTATGGGAAGCTCACCATTGCCCCGTGGAATATCGTAGCGTACAACATATTTACGGAACACGGTCCTTCTCTGTATGGCGTTGAACCCTGGACATATTACTTCGTGAATGGATTTCTTAATTTTAATGTAGTGTGGGTAAGTTGCATTAATTGTTTAGGGCGTTTTTAAAAGATTAAATAATTTCAAAATGACAAATAACTATTTGGGCTTAAACTGGGCTGGACAGTAATATAAGACCTTGGGCCGTCCAGTGGTCTATAATAACTGTGGGAGGGAACTTTGACTATATAAAAGGGCACTAGACCGAAATATTGGTCCTTCGAGCCGGATTAATAATTGGGGCCGGTACCGGTGCCGCCTGAACTGACCTGACCTGAATTAAACTAAACGTTTTAACAAGTCATTTATACATATTCTTGAGCATCGTCGTCTCTACGAGAAACGCTTATTGGTTTTTCATATTTCATGTATGTCTGCAAGCTTTTGTAATTTGTTATTTGTACGTAATTAAACTCAGATAGTTATTATTAATGTGTAACTGGCCAGTCAATGTATGTGTTCAGTGGCTTCTCCAATCACAGGACGGACATGCGAACTACATTGAGCTATTGTAGTCTTAGTTGTGTTTTCCATCTAAAGACTTCGTAGTATTCTCGATAAAGGAAAAAAATCCATGTAATGTTTGTAACGTTAAAGGTATACGCAGTGTCGTGCCCGCTGCAGCTGGCGGCGTGCTTCGTGCTGGCGCCGCGCTCCACCGAGCGAGCTGCGTTCTGCGCGCCCTACTGGCTCGACCTGCTGCCGCTGGCGCTGTGGCTGCCCGTCTTCATGCTGCAGCCGCACAAGGAGGAGAGGTGCGTACGACCAACCTTTGCATTTTCTATGAACTTATTGACTTTTAAGGAGTTTACAAAGATAAATAGTATATGGTAACGTTGCAAGATTTAGGATTCTCTACCGATACATTTTTGTGTATTTTGTTTGTGACTGTAAAGATTTGGTCTCACTTTCTTCATTACCACACTATTGCAGTTAGTTTCGACAATTTATAACTTTCAATTCTAATGTTCCAGGTTCTTATACCCGGTGTACAGTATGATCGTACTGGCCGGAGCCGTGGCGTTGGACTGCCTGCAGAAGATGACATTCGCTGTTGGTACTGAGCTGTTCCGATGGAGGAAGGAGAGGGAGAGGCGACATTATCTCTCTTACACCGGGCCGTTGATGGTCATATGTGTGTTGGTCGCTGGAGTCGGTGGTGTGTATTTGATCTGCATATCTTTCTTACATTGTTTTTATCATTTCAAGGTTTTTTTGTTAAATAATTTCCATAATGCTTTTAAAAAGCTTTATTTCGCAACTCAAATTCATAATTATTTTTGACTTTGTGAAGGTAAGGGTTGGTTTTGCCTCCAATACAAAAGGGGTAGCCGATCAGACTAAGTAAGGAGGTAAACGGTTATAGACATATGTAATTATCTCGAGAAATTTCACTGTGCGATGTAGTTACTACGTGGTTATGTTGATCTTCGCTAGATGGCGTTGATAATAAAAAATCTAGAACCGTATAGCCTTTATCTATACAAATAAATAAAGTTGGAGTGTCTGTTTGTAATATTAAAATACCCGCTTTTTACTAAATGCATATGTATGTTTACACGGTACATATGCCAAAATAACATTTTTTATAATTTTTGTCTGTGTCTGTGTGTCTGTTTGTTCCGGGTAATCTCTGGAACGGCTGGACCGATTTCGACGGGACTTTCACTGGCAGATAGCTGATGACATAAGGAGTACTTTAGGCTACTTTTTTTAGACTAGCTTCGCCCCGCGGCGTTGCCCGCGGTTATAACAACAAACGCGGGTAACACCGCGGGTCTCACCTAGTATATTACTAAACAGAAATAATCACAATTCGGACTATTCCAGGTATATCCCGCATAGCAGCCCTGTACACGAACTACCACGGTCCCATGACGATCCTGCGCCATCTGCCGCCTGCCCCGGACCACGCGCAGCTCAACGTCTGTTTCGGCAAGGAGTGGTACCGCTTCCCCTCCAGCTTCCACCTGCCACAAGCCTACGCCACCAGGTTCATTAGTAGCGACTTTACTGGTCAAATGCCTGCGCCTTTCGCTAAAGGACATAATGGTATGTACCTACTTATATGAACATCTGCATACATTTAACACATTGCCTGAAAGCATTCAAAGTAAAACAATGGAACATCGACTGCACGGATAGCGTAGTGGTTTAAGCGGTCACCTCGGCGCTTCCTACTATCGGGTTCGATCCCCACATGGGACAACACTGTGTGATATACAAATTGTTGTTCTGAGTCTGGGTGTCCTTTATTACATGAGCGGGAGTTGTCTAAAAAAAAACATACGACGGTTAGTGACCCTGACTGCTAAGCCGGAGGTAGTGGGTTCGATTCCCACCCAGGACAAATATTGTGTGATGAACACGATCATTTGTTCTGTGTCTTGGTGTAATTTATCTATGTTATGTATGTATTTAGAAATATATAAGAATGTTTATCAACAGTCTGACTACCATAGCACAGGCTCTGCCTAGTTTTTGATCAGACGGGCGTGTGTGGGATGTAGGAAGTTATTATTTTGGGTTGAGCCCTATGAGACGAAAGGGCAAATAAACTCCTGGATGCATGTATAAAACAACCTTTTTAGCGTATTTTGAAATAAATTCGGTCATGACTCCTCTGGTTCCACATCATCATTACCACAATAGCATCCTATTTAATGGAGACGAACATTTCTGAGAAAAATAAAATATATTAAGGCTATACTAGACAAAATTTCAGACCAAATAAAAAACGGACTCAACTGTTTCTCAATTTTCCTCATATTTTTTGTGTATTTATACTCACGCTAAAATGCATTTTCTTAACTGTTTGCTAGTTTTAATATACTATAAAACTTTTCTTTAATTTCCTAAAAGAAATAACTTAGGCAGCGATAGGTTGCGCACAAAAAACGTAAAGAGGTCATTCGATCACTAAATTTTACTCTTCAATTTTTTTCGAAAACCGATTCTTAAGGAGTAAACTTCTAAAACAAATATATGAAAGAGTATTTAAGTGAATAGAACAGTTTTTCATATCCAACCTAAAAAATAATAAAAATAATTGCTTTCAGCTACTCGCCTTATCCATCCTCACTTCAACGAACAAAATAAAGGCGACAACAGAACATACCTGAACCCAAGCCAATGCCATTACCTCGTGGACTCTGACGCTGGCAACCCCACGACTCTTCAACCATTCTACCACAAAGATCCGTCGTTTGAGATAGTCGCAAGTGTGCCCATACTCGAAGCGAGTAAGTCCCATCAGGTGTTAAGAGCATTCTATGTGCCAGTGCTGTCTAGTAAAAATACTGTGTTCGCGAATTTATATTTGTTAAAGAATAAATTAGTTTTGTGATTTGTGAGAGAGTGAAAGGTTCGTCTCAAATAGTTAACTGTAGAGCTCTGTCTCTTTCTATGAATAGGAACAAAGTTATGAGTACTAAAATAGCATATGTCTAATTTGAGACTTAATCGAGTTAATATTTTAAAAACCTTTTTGTAAACTGAAGATCCTTGTGCCAAAGAAATATATGTACATACATAGACTCGCAAAACATAACCCTGCTTTCAAAAACAAATACATTGAATTTTATTTTTCATCAAAGAATACGACTTTTTTTTAGATATTGACCTTACGTGAGGCTAGCGTAATCATAAATCGCAGTGACTTTGGAGATTAGTCGCATGGGTGATGCATGATTCTTGAATCATATGATCCCTGGTAAATTGAAAGACTTTATTATTCCTTTATGAATCTTACGATTAAGTCTCACTTTATACATTTAATATCCACACAAGACTAAAAAGAATATTAATATAATTTTAAAAAACTTATATCACGAAATGATTTTCTATTTAAAATTTAATGGTTTTATCTTTAAGAAACATTGCTCTGTTACACGGAAAAACATAGTACTAATAATATTTACTATTCTATCGTATGGGTGAACTGCAATAATTCTAGGTAAACTTAATTTTAGATAGTAAGTTTGTGTTGTATAGTGTGTTTCTAAGAAAAAATATGTCTACACAACATTGTAAACATTGTGTTGACAGGTAAAGAATCTAAACTGAAGAATCATAAATTATTAGTATATTTGTGTTAACCAAAATATGAAATTACTAGCTGACCCGCGCAACTTCGTCTGCGTCTCTCAATAGTAATAAATTTTCTCCGTTTTTGAAACATTCTTCATTAGTGCTCCGCTCCTATTGGTCTTAGCGTGATGATATATAGCCTATAGCCTTCCTCGATAAATGGGCTATCTAACACTGAAACAATTTTTCAAATCGGACCAGTAGTTCCTGAGATTAGCGCGTTCAAACAAACAAACAAACTCTTCAGCTTTATAATATTAGTATAGATTCAACATTTAAATATGAAACGAAAGCAACGATTTCCTTGTCGAAATAGGATTTCGACAAGGAAATCGTTGCTTAATTTTGAAAAAATAGTAATATATAAATAAAAATTGCAATGGTTTTTCATATGTATATATTCACGCCTATATGTAACCTAGGGGGTAGACAAAGGTATATCCAACCACATTTCACTAACCATATAATAATATTAGACGTCCCGATAAGACTGCACGGATGGCGTAGTGGTTTAAGCGGTCTCCTCGCCGTTTTCTACTGCGCTGAGTGTTGTGGGTTCATCGAACCCGAAGGGGCGATCCCCACATGGTACAACACTTCGTATAATCCACGAGTTTGGGTGTTCTTTGTGTCCGTTTCGTGTATATTTGTAATGTCCCCCACGACACAGGATATATTACTAGTTCGGGAGTTGTGTTATAAAACGAAATATGATTGAACTGGCTTTTGAACATAGGACGTACGTACCTACCTATCTACATAAGAACTCGAGAACCAGTTTGTGTTAATCACAAAAAACAACACTTTTATGGTTTTTGGATAGTTTTCAGATTTTAACTTAAAAGTCATGAATATCTTTAAACTTTGTTCTAAAACTGGAGTGCTGTTTTTTGGACGTGTACTTAATTATACCGACCAACCAAGCAAGTTATCGTGATAAAATTTCATTGAATTTTTTTTTTACGTTGTTCATCACTGGATAGTCGCCATCTTTGATATCAAACCACTATAATAATACCCAACAAAAGGCCTTTATTATATTTGTAAATAGATCAATAATTTAATTCTTTTAAACTCTGCTTTTAACCACTGATCCATGATTAAAACATTTAAAAGAAAATCTTAAAGGGCTTGGGCTATTGGAACCGTTACCTTTGCACGTAAGATTGATCTTGTAATTTTTAAATTCGCTGCTAATTGATCTTAGCTTTATTTATTAAGACACTTTTTAGAAAGCTAGTCATAGTGCAATAATAAAATATACAATTAATATTAAATAAGAGCATTATATAATTATAATATTTTAAATGTTTTTCATTAATATTGTGACCTTCGTACTATAGATGCACTTTCATACACTTTGTATGTGTGTATGTATTTACATACATATAATTAATAGGGTGACCTGGCCAGGGTTACCATATATAAAGTTAAAAGTTCCTTTTTTTTTTATATGTCGTGACGTTTTTTCATATGGCAGTTTTAGAGGCTATTAATAATTTGACAATGCACTATGTTGATATTTTAGAAGGCTACAAATTATTTGTTTATTATTGAATATTTAAAATACAGCTAAAATCCGTATCTGTTAAATTCTCTCTCATTTGACATGGAATACTTAGTGTTTTGAAAATGGCTATATCAATATACCAAGTATATGTAGAATTTAAGAAAGAAATCCTCTTTCGTTGCAATGAATAGAAAAATATTAAACTTCTTTATAATTTATTTATGTATTAAACTTTAATTTGACTTGTAATTAGTATGGTTCCGTGTATGAAAACTGTAGCGATTAGGAATTTCGCTTATTCGGTTTAAACTATTGTGATCTCTGTTACATGTTGATTTGACTGCACGGATGGCGTATTGGTTTAAGCGGTCGCCACGCCGCTTACTACAATGATGAGTGTGAATTCGATCCCCAAAAGGAACGACACTTTGTGTGATCCACAAATTGTTGTTCTGAGTCTGGGTATTCTTTGTGTCCTTTTCATGTATGTTTGTAAAGTCCCCCGCGACACAGGATAGATTACTATTGCGGGAGTTATCTTTTTAAAGCACTTTTTTTCATCTAATATGTACTGTGTAGAACTGACATAGTAACATAAATTCAATGCAAATTGTAACAAATGCAACTCAACTTTCTGATTGTCTATGGTAGACCATAGACAAATCGTATTTTTTGTGTGCGATTTCGTTTATTGCCTTGTAACTGGAGTAGCTAGAGTAAGGGAAGTATATAGTTATTTATTACCTATTTACTTTTACTTTTTTAGTATAAATAAATAATTTGTTGGCAAGTGTTGGCATTTTGCATTTTTATAAAATATCAGCAATTCTTGATGTGACTTGTTTTTATTTGTCAATATATTATTAAAGTTATTTCTGAATATGTTCGTTTTTTACCTTTTTTTTTTTTTTTTTTTTTTTAACGTGTGGAAATCCCCTCGGACCGTCACCCCACCGGGGTTTGCGGCGGGGTGGTGTGTCGGACTCGAGCCGACTAAAACCACACGGTGTGCCCTCTTGGCGCTTCCAGTTTAGGAGGGGTCCAGGTAGTTATCGCCTTCTGGACCCCTCCTAGCGCCGGCCCGCTCCTATTGCGGGCCCCGTCTCAAAATTTTCCTCTCTTTCCTTTCCTCTCCTCTCTTTCCTCTCTTTGTTCGTTTTTTACCTTTTTTTTTTTTTTTTTAACGTGTGGAAATCCCCTCGGACCGTCACCCCTCCGGGGTTTGCGGCGGGGTGGTGTGTCGGACTCGGACCGACTAAAACCACACGGTGTGCCACTCTGCGCCTGTAACAGGAGGGATCCGGGAACAGCTGTTGTTAAGACATCCGGACCCCTCCTAGCGCCAGCCCGCTCCTGGTGCGGGCTCCGTCTCAATGTAGATGTTCCTCTCTTTAGGCGACGTCCGGCACACGCGGACGCCGCCCCCTCGCGGCTGGCCAACTAATGCGGGTGGAGGGGAAACCCACCCCGTCCACCCGCGGCCACACTCAGGGCGGCATGAGGCTGTGGTAGGCGGGCCTCCGCCGCCCGGTTCGCCGGCGGCGGATCGGGTCCGAGTGGAGGTCGTCCTCCCGGGCCCTCTCCGCCGCCTCCTTCCGCGAGATTACTACCTCGCAGAAGGTTGCGACCGCGGTAAAACAACTGTCGCTACCGGCCATGGAGCGTACTACGGCCGGTAGCGAGAGATCCACTCCGATGACTGCAGTGAGGGCCCGGCGCTGCGCCGCCCATGCGGGGCAGACCGCCAGCGTGTGCTGGGCCGAGTCCTCACTGCAGTCGCAGTGGTGGCAGGCGGGACTCAGTTCCCTCCTAGCGACCGTGTGCAGGTACTTTCCGAAGCAACCGTGCCCGGAAAGCACCTGCGTCAGTCGGAAGGAAAGGGTCCCGTGCTGCCGCCCCGCCCACTCGGCGATGACCGGCTGGAGAGCCTCCACGGCGGCGAAGCCAGCGCGTGGAGTCTCCAGCCGGAACGACCAACGAGCCATCGTGGCTCGGCGAGCGGCTTCGCGCCACTCGCGCACATCCTCGGGCGGAGGGCGAAATCCGCTCTCCGCCCGGGAGTCAGCCACTCGCCGATAAACTTCGGCGAGCACTTCCGCCTCCAAATCCCACGGGGGAGTTCCGGCCAACGCGCATGCCACCTCCGTAGAAACGGTGCGGTAACCGCGTATGGCTCTGACCGCCATTACCCTCTGAGGGCGCCAGAGGCGTACCCTATTCTGGGCGGTCAGAGCCGCCGCCCACACCGGTGCACCGTACAGCGCCATTGACCGGACAACCCCCGTGTACAGCCGTCTTGTCGCGACGCTGGGTCCACCCATATTGGGCAAAAGTCGCCCTAGGGCAGACGCAGCGCCGACCAGCTTTGGAGCAAGCTGTCGGAAGTGCTCGTCGAAGAGCCACCTCCCGTCGAGGATCAGGCCCAGATATTTCATCTGGGCCCGAACCGGTACGAGGACCGAGTTGACCACGATTGAGGCGCCAGGGGGTGGACCACGACGGGGCCCATGAAATAACAGGGCCTCCGTCTTATCTAGGGCCACCCGTAAGCCCAGCGCCTCAATGCGCCCGACCACCAGGGAGACTCCCCCTGTGGCCAGGCGCGCCGCCTCTTGGAAGTTTGCCCCCCGGGCTGTCACGAGGGTATCGTCTGCGTAACAGATTACACCCAGCCCGGGGGGGAAATCGGCGCGAAGGGCCCAGTCGTACCCTATGTTCCACAAGAGGGGTCCAAGAACAGACCCCTGTGGAACACCGCACGACATGGGCCGACTCCTCAAATTACCTTCTCGGTCCTCGTACACGACGGTACGCTCCTCTAAGTAGTCTGCCACTAGCCGCCTCAGGTACTTTGGCACCCCATGATAGTGGAGTGCTTCCCTGATGCAGCTGAATGGCAGACTATTGAATGCGTTGGCGATGTCTAATGACACCGCCAACAGCACGCCGCCACAGCTCACGGCCTCTTCGGTCACGGCCCTCAGGCGCAACACGGCGTCGACTGTCGAACGCCCCGCCCGAAAACCAAATTGGGCGTCCGACAGATCGGGGCCCACCTCGCAGAGGTGCCGGACGATGCGGGCAGAAAGAACCCTCTCAAACAATTTGCCCGCCTCGTCCAGCAGCATTGGTACTGGAAAAATTATTTCTGGAACGTATCGAATCCTAGGGATTATTCTGGTTATTTCGGCAGCCCTGTAAGAGCGGAGCGGCTTGGCCGTAGGGGCAAGTATTGTTTTACGAAACAGCGGAATAATATCTAAGCGTTCTTCTAGTGCGACGAAGGAATTATTTAGTGAATTATTGTTTATAAAAGTTTGTTTAGAAATACAGTGCTAATTTTGCTAATAAACGCCTACTTTTATTTGTCGAATTCCTGGCTCGTAACAGTATGAAAAGTATAACGTGGGGCGTTGCATTATCGCAAATATGTTTCCTGAGGGCCTCTAGGGAAAGGATTGAATTATCTTGGAGTGGCCACTGGAATGACGCGATTGTTTTATAGTTGCGTTGTATTTAACATGGAGCCATCTGACAAAAAAAACATTTTTGGTTTGGCAATGAAGATTCATCAACAGCCTTTAGTAGTCCACTGGCTGGGTGTTTGCCCTCTATTAAAAAAAAAGAAGTTTTGGTCACGCTGGTATTGGGTTTGTGTCAAGTTTTCCTTCTTTTTGAAGTGCTATTGTCCTGCATAATTTGTTCCCTTAGTCGGCTCTAATGAAATCTACGGGATGAATACGGATTGGTACCACACCAATCCGTATTCTTAATCCGTCACCACACGGATAAGGAATAAATAGTTATACCAAGTGACTATAATAATAATCACCACAACATAATATATGCGTCTTTGATGTGACACAGTATAATAAAAATAAAAAAACATTAACGGAATTCTTTGCAAAAAAAATAAATTAATAACCACTTAATGCGAATTCGTGTGTCGCTTGACTACAGAACATTATTTTTTGAAGTCATTTGAAATAATGTTCGGTGCAAAACAAGCGGCAAATATCAAGAGAAAAATCAAAATAATTTAACTGCACAGATGTAGTAGTCGTTTAAACGGTCACCTCGCCGCTTCCTACTGCGCTGAGTGTTATGGGTTCGAACCCCGTATTGGACAATACTTTGTGTGAGCCACAAATTGTTTGTTTTGAGTTTGAATGTTCTTTGTGACACAGGATATATAACAACAGTGGGAGTTATCTTTAAGAAAACTTTTAGAAGTGTTGTTTTTTTATCCCAACTAGTGGTTTATTAAGTCAGAAGGCTTACACCGTTTACTTCTTTTTAGCCCTGGGTTTTTGTAACGGTAGTAAAAATCCCTCAAACAATTATATTGCCTTTGACGAAACAAGCGCTTTACAATGATACTGGCTAGCCATCCTGAATAGGGATAAGAAGACGCAACAAATTGAAGTATAGGTACATAAAAATCTACACAATTTTAAAGTTTAGAAATAAAACACTAGTTTAATTTAGGAGTATTTTAATAAGTATACATAGTCTTATATAAAAAGGACTAGACCAAAGGCCGTATCAAGAAATGATTAGCCTTTTTGCCACATTAGTAAACATAACCTTAATAATTACATTAAATACTCTCTGATATTCGCCATACAAAACCAAATAAATTCAGTTTTCAAATGACAGTTCTCTTTTCTCTGTCTTTTTTAATTCTTATAATTAAATTTATAAATAAAAACACGCAAAGTAACCGCTACAACGGGTAACTTTGAGTGTGTTTATTTATAAATTTGAATCAAATCTGTCAATGTTAATTTGATAAGAGAAAAAAGTAAAAGAAAAAATAAACTTGATGAATGATGAAAATGTATAATATATATACTTAACATCTACAAACTGGCATTTTTAATTTTCATATACCCAGTGACACACTCACAATTAAGAGTAATCGTACGACACCTTGAACGTCAAAATCCATAAAGTCGGGTAAATAAATAATACTGCGTCTGCCTGTGTCAATGACTATCAGTTTCCAATCAGCTGTGAAAAAAAAAGCCGAGAAACAAACTCAAAGACACTCTTTTAAATCATTCTCATTTATCATCATCAACAACCTCTACTATTCCAAGGACGAAAGGTGGTTTTGGCCTACTATACCACGCTGGCCAGACGGGTTGATATCGGGTTTGTTTAAAGTTTTCTTCTCTTTGCAGTGCTGTTGTCCTGCGTAGTTTGCTACCTTAGGACGAATAAGGGTGGTGATACTGTTTTCTTAATCCGCCATCACACATTCTCATTTACAACTTGTATTATACTTCCTTGATTTTGTACTTAGAATATATCATGCTAAGTACAAAATCTCGTAGTACCTAACTCAAAACAGGAACAAGATTACAAGAGTATCAGATTTTCTTAAAATATCACACGTTGGTGTGGTTGCTGATGTTTTCTTCATGTAAATGGGTATTTACACATCTAGGTCATCACGTTCTGGTTTCCTGAAAACAAAACATGATATGATCAACAGACGACCGGATGGCATAGTGGTTTGTGTAACGGACTGCTATTCCAAAGGTCGCGGGTTCGGTTCCCGCTCAAGTCAAACATTTGTGTGGATGAACATTTAATGTTTGATTTGGTCTGGGTGTTTCTATGTATAATATGTATGTATTTACAAAAAAAAAGTATATATGTATTTATATCAGTTGTCTAGTAGCCATAGTACAAGCTCTGCTTAGTTTGGGACTAGATGGCGTTGTGTGAATGTAGTAATATATATATATATATAAATTTGCCATTGAGTTTGGCAAGGAGTGTAATGAGACTCGAGATGAATTTTAGTCTGTTTTATTTTAGATAGAGGCAGGGTTCATATACTAATGGGGTGCGTGTGTATAATTCTTGTATTTATTCTCTAAGTACTTGCAATTATGTACGACGTGCTGTCGCCACAGTCGATATAAAATGTAACTTAATATTGTTTGTTTTAAACTGTCTATGCCAGGAGTAGTCGATTTTTAAATAGAGATATCAAAACTGGATAGTGACCGTATTCTGGCTCTTGGCTTAAGCCATATTCAACTTATTGCAAAGTGGGAAGAAATTTTTGCATGTGAAATACAGCTAAAACTTCATTGCGCGTTGCAGGATTAGATGTTCCTATTTAGTTGGACTAGTTGGCCTTGTTCTCACTAGATGACGCTGAGGTATATTTCTTGTATGTGAATGTCGTCACTTCTCATTGGTTTATAGAGTATGACTACCAAAACCCCTAAATATTGAATTTAAATGTCTAGTGAGTTTTCTTTACAAAAAAAAAACCATTAAAGTGGCAGAATCATTTAAATCAGAGGCAGGACGCTGGCACTATTACGAAAACTTAAAGATACTTCTATAATTAACTTTAAAAATAGTATCACCGACTTTCATGCACCTACAACAATTTTTTTTAAATATCAACTTCCGCGCTAGGAATAAATCCTGTGTCGCGGGGGACAGACATACTCGTACATGAATCGGTCATAAAGAACAGTCGTACAGCCTTATTGTAATAACTTGTATTCTTCATTCCCTAACTTTCCATCGTTGTACCAAAGAATATTTCAAATCTGTTCTTAAATGACGGAGCTCTGAAGTAAAAAAGATAAAAAAAGACATTCAAACTTTGTAAACTTCTCCTTTTCCGTCAATTAAAAATAAGTTACAAACCCGCATAATGATTGTTCTCTGATATTCTTTTCACCGTCGGCAATAGTCTGGGGCATCGGCAGGCCTCTCGTCTCTGGTAACGTCAAACCGACGCTCGCCGTGAGGAAGGTCATCAGCGTGAATATTAATATCGGTAACATGCTCCAATAGCGCCCCTGCAAAGCCAAGATGAATTTGCATTATATATTATACTTGTAAATATTATTGATATAACACAAGAATCAGAGGCTTTGTGTCAATATTATGCTTAGGCTTTTTTGCCAGTAAATGTTAAAGGCCAAAGAGGAGGTGAGGAAACAAGAGTCGAGTACTCTCCTGTACATAGCACTAAATAACGAATTATGTCACTTTTGGGTGTCAACAAGTTTTAGGCACGCTATTTCTGGCAATATTTCAATGCCTCGTTTCTAAGACTACGAGTCTACTAAATGTAATAATTTTGTTAATTAGACAAACCCACATTAATGTTTATAAATACATATTAGTTTTGGTAGTGATTACGTTGAGAACAGCTCTCAGATCCCTCCTATTTATGGACAGATTGGCATTTAGTGGGGATGACGACGAAAGAAAAGGTTCATTGATAACTTACCGAGTATACGATAAAAGGTGTGAAAACAGTCGAGATGAATGCACACATGTGCAGGATGGAACAGCCAGTGGCTCGAAAGGGCGTTGGCAAAATCTCCGTGGTCCATTGCATCACACACGTAAAGCAGGTGTTCGTAAAGAAACGTGCGGCTATTTCAATTACCGTCTGCGGGACACCTGCACAATAGAATCATACTCAAACATTTCGCCAATTTGATTCGAATTTAATTCTTTACAATTGTCTCTTGTTATTTTTTAAGTCTATGTGGTGATGGATTAAGAACACGGTGTGTCACCACCCCTATTAATCCCGTGGGTGTAGAGCCGACTAAGAGAGAAAACTACGAAGGGAAACAGCACTGCAAAGAGAAGGAAAACTTGACACAAACAAAACCAATAGTAGGCCAAAACCTTCTTTCTAAGGAGAGGCTTATGTCCAGCAGTGAATTATAAAAGGCTGTTGATAAAATAATTCTGGGAAAGACAACCTGAGGGAGTGATTTCGTGAATTGGGACGAAAATGTGTAACAGGAAGTAGTGGACCAATGAGCGCGAGCGGTGCTGTCAACTGGAAGGTGAGTCTTCAGATGTTACACATCATAATATTCGACTACTTTATGACTTGCTTGTTTTTACATCATGTATTTGTTGCTGTTTCTAGTGTATGGTAAACGTACCTTTAGGCAGAAAGAGAGCGACGAGTAAGAAGACACTGGATGCATACATTGGACCGACACAAACTTTTCTTCTGCCAAATCTGAAAGAAATAATAAATAATTAGACTTAGCAATCATCCATACATTTCAAAAATCGAACTAAAAATTATCATTTATGATAATTATTGTAAGTGAATTGTTCAGTAACTACTCTCAAAGAAGATTTTTATAAATAACTACCAATAAGCTGCTTGCTCCAACATTTGATGTTCCTACTTAGATAAAGTTTTTGTATTTAGAAAACATATTTAACTTTTAATTATATTTTGCAATTAAAGTGGTTTTTTAGGGTTCCGTACCTCAAAAGGTAAAAAAGGAACCCTTATAAGATCACTTTCTTGTCCGTCTGTCCGTGTGTCACCACCGATGTGTTTCAAATTTTCTTAAAATCTTTGTAGGTACGGTACCCTCGGCGCACGAGTTCGACTCGTACCTGACCGGTTTTTTTAAGTTCATTTCCACTATACTTTCTTTACTTAATTTTTTGTCTCGTAGTGTCATCGGACCTTGATATGTTAGTTAAATTTTAAATGAGATAGAGATTTCTCAAAATCGGTGAAGAGTATATGGTAAGGTTGCATGTGTGCAGCATGTGGGTGTGTGCCTTACCTGTCGAGAATTACCGCGACAACCAGTATAGAAATCAGTTCAGACACCTCAATGAAAGTGAACACGACGAAGAAATTCATTCCAAAACTGTCAGAGAGACGCACCAGCCCATCAAACACAAGTGCACCACCCATGAAAAGGATCATCAGGCTGAACATTGCCTTGCGCAGTGGTGGGCTCTTGAAAATACAAAAGAAGTTTTGCTTCTCCTCCATTTTACCTTTGTTGGAGACTATCTGCAAAGCGAAGAGAAGAAGAAAATTGAGATTTTATGAAATTCATAAAAAATATGTGTTGCCAATGTAAATATTGTGTGAAATGGATATCATAACATCGAGTTACACGCAAGTAGCACATATTTTTATTTATTAATAGCTTTTGGCTTGGCTCTCGTGTAGGTATGTAGGTAATAAAACATGTATTTACATAGGGCATATATACAGATACATTGACAACCTGGTGGCGTAGAGGTTTGTGTAACGGACAGCTATTCCAAAGGTCGTGGGTTCGATTGCCGCTCAAATCAAACATTTGTGTGCATGAACGTTTAATTTTTGATTTAGTCTGGGTGTTTCTATGTATAATACGTTTGTAATTACATAGAAACACAAACAAAGTATATGTAAATGTATTTATATCAGTTGTCTAGTACACATAGTACAAGGTCTGCTTAGTTTTCCTGAAGTTTTCAACGGTTTACTAGATGAAATAGTTTGTAAATACATAATAAACCAGCCTTACTCGAAAAAGATGAAAAAAGGAAGAAGAAGGTATTTTTTCATCTTTTTCGAGTAAGGCTTGTGTTCCATCTGCATAATTTTATTTTTTGAGACATCAGTCACACAACGCCATTTAGTTTAAAACTAAGCAGAGGTTGTACTATTAAAGCAAGATTGACTGATAGAATACTTATATACTTTTTTTTTGCAAATACATACTTGTTATACATAGAAAACACCCAAACTCCGAAACAATAATTTGCAGATCATGCAAACATTTGTCCGACCCGGGAATCGAACCCGAGACCTCAGCACGGCAGTCGCATACTCTACCACTGCGCCACCGAGGCAGTCGGGCAGGCAGCATATACTAGATTAGTTGGATAAGACAAACAAAGCGAACTCCCTCTCGTATAAAAACCTCAACGGTTTATGCGAGTGGTTTGTGTTAAAAAAATGTATATTGTAACAGTTTGATCAATAAAGAAAAGAAAGATGTCGGGTATAGCTGATAATGCAGCTTTCACTTCGGTGAATACAATTTTTAAAATCACTTTAGTGGTTTAGGCGTGAAAGCGTAACAAACAAACAAACTCAAATATGGATGGCACGTAAGTTAATATAATAACATTGCAAATTATTGTATTAAAAAAAAACAAAACAGTTTAACACTTAATGACTAAAAACTATGGTCGAAATTAGAGCACCACTTAAGAAGTTTGATTTTGATGACGCCGATATATTTTCCAAAGCTATATACTCGTACATTATATTGTACTTACAACAAACTCATCCATGACATGTTCTGGAATTTTGGTTCCATTAATCCTCTCAAACTTCTCGAGAATCGCAATAGCTTCGTTGATGCGACCTCTGCTCATCAACCATCTGCAATAAAAAAAAATATTAGTCAGTTTTAGTACCTATACTTTTTTCAAATTAAGTTTCTAAGTATATCTATGGTTGTGGATTTGTTTAATAATAATAACCTAGTGTCTCAAACACGGCCATTAGATCCCAAGCTAGGCAGAACCTGTGTCATGGTGACCAGACTTCTGATAAACATACTTATATATTTCTAAATAGATCTTTATAATGACATGAAGTTCCTGCGATAAACTCAAAAACAACAGAACAGATTTCTGTACAGTTTCCACCAGTAGATAGTGTGATTTCTGAGGAAGGTTTAGGGTATAATTCATGATGGTTTTATGTAGATTGACTGAAATATACCGATATTATTGTTGAAGAGGTCGCAAACAATCTTATGCTACATAAACCGATCGAAGAAACGACCATGCGGGCATTGCGTGCGAAAGCTAGTGATAGAAAAATTACATCGAGACATAGAACAAATGGTCGTGCTCATCACACAATTATTTGTCCTCAGTAGGAATCAAACACACAATCCCTGGCTTAGCAGTTACGATCACTAATCATTTAGCCAATAGGCCCATTATTAATGGTAGAATGATAATGATATCATCATGCGTTGTTTTGCGGTTAAGGGCGCAAAACAATGCAGGACACCAGCACTGCAAAAAGAAGGAAAACTTGACATGCCAACTTGACCAGCGTGGTATAGTAGGCCAAAACCTCCTTTCTAAGGAGAGGCCTATGTCCAGCAGTGGACTATTAAAGGCTGTTGATGATGATGATGATAATGATATCTGCAGGAACAATAAAGACGTGCACCCACAGCCTATACGTGTTAGTTAGCCTACATGTGTGTGTCAGCCTAAGTTAAAGTAATTCTAGAAAGTTATTGTTATAAAATAAACTCACCTAATACTCTCAGGGATGACCCACGGCGCTAATAACACGAGGAACATGGGAAGCGAAGTCACCCACACTAATATACGCCAGTCTGCGATAAAGTACGCCATCCAGGGCATCGCCACGGACGCTACTCCGAATGACAAAGCTAAGATTAAATTCGCCACCAAAGTGCGGTATTGAGGTCCCACATATTCCAACACTGAAAATAAGTGAAGTATTTAAATTAAAATAGGCATTTAATCATTCATAAGTTTCTTCAATTTTATAAAACTTTAAGTACTTATTTGCAGCAGAAAAATTTCTCCTTCTCTTCGATTAAAATATTAATAGAAGGAAAAAATATTAAGTTACTGCACAAATGGCGTAGTGTTGTGGGCTCCATCCCGATATGGATCAACACTTTACGTGGCCTATAAATGTTGTGCTTAGTCTGAGTCCCCTCCGACAAAGGATAAATATACTACTATACTATACTAGTGCGGGAGTTGTCTTTCATTAAAAAAAAAGTTTATTTCTTGAAAGTTACAACTAGGCCCTAAAAGAAACTATTGATAATTAGGGCTTAAATAATATGAAGACAAATCGTGATAGTTTTTATTCTAATATAATCTATAGAGATTCTATAAAACAACACTAGTAATCTAGTATAGGTATAGTCTAATCGGTCACGTTACAAAACCTATGCAATGATTAAAACTTTCAAATTTCGTTGGTTCTCTAAATTAATCAGCGATAGGCGAAGTGAAGTTCTGATAAACATACTTACATTCTGATAAACATACTTCTTATTTAAATATACATACATTAAAAATAGTTTTTTGACTACACAGTTTAAAAAGAGTAAGAACTGAGAGGATCATCGGAATATTACAATTTTACTGACCCTACAGTTAGTTTTGACTACTTATGATAATTATTAAACAATCATTGTTCAGTAATATAAAATTTTAAATACTAACCCATTATATACAGCATCATGAAGCAGTTATCAAACGACAAGCCAACGAGGAATCTGCAGAGAATAAAGTCCCACACACCAGTGGTAAATGTAGTAGCAACACCGCCGATACCGCCAATTAAATTTGTCGCTGAAACACAGGTACAATACGTAAATTTTGAATATACCATAGACTACTTGGATTATTTTTGTATTTTTGGCATTGTAATCTTTTGTCAATAGGCTCTACATATGTAAGTCTATATTCCCTTGCAGGTTAATAGCGAAAAAAAAGAAAACTAGAAACGAAAATGGTTAATTAGAAAATTGTCCCGTGTCGAGAAAGTCTGTATCAAGACAAAAAAAAAAATAATTCGATACGCCTTAGGCTAAGTATTTAGTACCTGCTATTTAAATGTGTAATGAAATGTAAATTCCTATTTATAACATTTTAAAATCTATATTACTTACATTTGAAACGTTTTGCAAAATTATTGTTATTATTTCAACAGCATTATATTTAAAATAAAAGACGATAATGTATGTTACTTACCTATTACAGCAGGTACTCTGCCAAAACGATCTGCCATCCATCCGAAGATAACACCTCCTACCACGGATCCCACGAAGAACATCGACGCAGCAGTTGGCACGTTTTTGGCATTATCACACACCCATTCTCTCTGCAGAAATTATAATAATTGTAAATAGAAATAAAACTGGCTGTAGTATTCTTTGATGGTGTATTTTGTAATTTCTATGTTGTGGAACGGCCAAGAATTTCCGTTCTGAAGTGTGGCGTCTGAAGGTCAATTCTCGTAACAAAAGTTCGGTCACAATTCAGTTCCGACCAATTCTCGATTTCACAACTGGCATATAAGGGATATTCGTAGTATAGTAAATATCCAACGTTGACTGTAATGTGATTACAAGGTATTGTAAAGGAAAAAAATATAGTTTTAAAAAACTAAAAAACACGCTTTCTATAGAAAACCAAACTAAAAAATAGAAAATAAATTTGAAAAAAAAGCGTTGGGTGCCTGTTGTCAATAGTAAAAAGCACCCTTTTAATTTTTTTTTTTTAAATTATTGTATTGTCATCGGTCCTCGATATATCTACATAGTTTGAACGAATTCTGACCGTTTAAAGTCAGTCAAAATCACGCCCAAAGGAAGGACTTGTATGTTTGTTTGTATGTTTGTAACCGTACAAACATACAAGTGAAGCTAATATAAAGCGTCTAAAAATGAATTGTTAATCTGCTCGTCTTACTTAGTAATACTATTTTACTACGAAAATACCTTTTATGACAGAGTGCGAGATCGAAAGTGGATCGGAACTGCATTGTGATCGATTATTATGAGAATTAGCCTTCTGATGTAAATAGTTTAGTTGTACAGCTGCAGATGGTGCTGTGAAATCATGTGCATCTAACCTCCACTTTTTCAGGGAACTGCGTTACAATTAAAATCTTTATCTTACAAAGTCAGGTTATCCAATTTTAAACGATTTTATGTCTTATTATATTATCGGGACCAATATAACACAAAAACATATTAAATTGGCGCAAGGCGTTACGTTCTGTCCACTGTCGTTGCGTTTTAAAAATTTGAGTTTTACACTTACCTCTGACGTAACAGTTTCATACGGTATATCATTGAATTCGAACTCCCAACCATGCTGGCATGGTACCATGGGTGTTCCTACTGCTGGTGGTTTTAAGGTATCTAATACTTGGGTCCAGTTAGTATCGAATGTCATGCAGTGGTCCCATTTGCCGGTGATAGCGCCAGGTGCGGATAGGTTACGTCTGTAATATTACATTAAATTTTTAATTAACTCTCTCTCTTCTCTCTCTCTTTATAACAAAATTTAAGAGACTGAGTATTTTTTTGTTAAAGGGACTTTTCCTTATATTGGGTTTAGACATAAAAACAACTAAATTAACGTTGATTTCTAATTGCGTCTCAATCTGACTATTACCGAAAAAAAACCCGGTCAGGTACGAGTCGAACTCGTGCGCTGAGGGTTCCGTACCTACCCAGATTTTACGTAGATTTTCGCGAAAATTTGTAATAACCAAAATTTCTCTTAATTTTCAACTTTTTTTTATTGCTGCTTGTTTACGTAAAACGTAGCATGCGTAGCATAAATTATAGTAAGTAATAAACAATAGACGCTATGTATTGAAGTTATTGTGTTAATATATTATAACCAATACTTAAACTTTTTTATACACCAGTAGGCACGAACGTTTGACACGAATTTGCTACAATTACAACAAAAAAGTTATCAAAAATAATGATCTCTACATTTTCCACGTACGCTTAACCAGTTAAAAATCAAAGTTATTGCCTAGTTGTAGTAGTGTGTAGAAACACTTATATTCTTATTGTTTAAAATATTTAGTTTAGTGTTTATATTTAGTAGTCATTTCAATTTTATTATTACTTCTATTTTTACTGTTTATTTTTAAACAATAGTTCTAAAACTATTCCATTAGATCCATATTTATCTAATTGTACAGATATTGTTATGAATGTTACGTACACCGTAATTGTGTGTATATATCAGAATATTTACCAATAACCGAATGTAAGGTGAATGGCATGTAATCGCATGCATGAATGAATTGCAGTTACTTACACTACACTCGTAGAAATTTACAAAATAATTAAACATCTTGAAATACGTATAAATGCTAGTGAGAAGTGCCGTTATATTAATAAAGCATTATAATTATCCGTTCCAATTATAGGCCCGCTAGTAAATATGGTTACACCTTTACTAATACGTATAAAATTAGTTTCATAACCTTAAAATCTCATTACATTGTGCAATATTTTTTGAAAAAAAATTACTCCCTAGAGGATCTTGCCAACGCCAACTAAATGTATGTACAATTTGACTATTTTGAGATTCTTAATAATGAAGTACTGAAAGTGATAATCATTCCACATTCATAATCGTCATCAATCATCATCAACAGCCTTTAATAGTCCACTGCTGGACATAGGCCTCTCCTTAGAAAGGAGGTTTTCCTACTATAGCACGCTGGCCAGACGGGTTGGTATAGAGTTTGTGTCAAGTTTTCCTTCTCTTTGTAGTGCTGTTTCCTGCGTAGTTTGCTTCCTTAGTCGGCTCTTACGACACCCACGGGATGAATAGGGGTGGTGACACTCTGTATTCTTAATCCGTCACCACATGGTATTCCAAACCAAATTCAATAAAAATATTCTGAAAGATATTATATGGCGCTATCTGGACCTAATTAAGTACATAGAGCTTGTACATACTATAGATTTCAGAACACCAGACATATACATATACGAGTATATATACACGGTGTAAGGGATATCGTAACGAATACTGATATAGTGCATTCAGACCATCATTCTGGGTCGAAAATCATTGGAATTTTCACTTTTTATCTTTTCATGCAATCAGCTGTCAAAGGTAAAGGTCATTCCCGTAGGTATCGAACAAAAGTAATAACTACATGTGTATTCCGTGCAAACGGTCTACGCAAACTAACACAAGTTGGTGGCCGGAGGGGAGGCCCCGCGCGCTTCGTGTGTTTGATTAATTACATTGCAGTTTTTTGGTATTTATTAAATTGTTTTCGGTAAAATGTTCTGTCTGCTCATTGTGATATTATTTTTCATCATTTTTAACCAGAAAAATGGAAAATTAAAAAAAAGGTTGATGAATTTTCCGGCAGAAAATTTCAATGATTTTCGAATCAGAATGATGGTCTGAATACACAACTACACACAAAGTGTAAGGGACATCGTACCGAATACTTCAGTATTCGGTACGATGTCCCTTACACTTTGTATATTGTTTATACTTTTCTTTTCACTTGCCTAATGTAGTTTAGACAATAATAATTTTTAATTTTCCTACATAATTTCACGAATTTTTTGAATAATCTGTTAACGCTGAGTATAGGTAAACACTATTATGTCCGTATTCCGAAGTAATGATGTCAAAACATAACCTAGCTTTGTAAACCACTGTAACTGAATTAAGTACCTACTTCAGTTACGAGTATCTTCGCAAATCTCAAAGAGAGCTTCTTAATAAAATAGGCTTTTATTTATTGCGGCTCATTCTGAATTTGAACATTAAGACTTTTTTGTACTTAGTTGAATGTATTTGAACTTTTCTATTTCTCGCCGAAATCTCCTTTGATGATTGTGATTTGTGATTTTAAGATATGAATTTAACCGGTGACTTTTTATAAAGTACTTTAAAATACATATAGGTTTTTATGAATCTTATGGATAACAATAACTTAGATTCAAAATCATTTCAACAAATAATTATTATTGTTCATCAGAAAATAAGAGATTAAGAAATCAGAAATTTAAGTTATAATGAATTCTATATCTTTCTGTTGCAAAATGAATTTTATGATCAAGTTTAGCTGTAATACATATACTAAATTGAAGTATACTTAAATTTTAAAATATGTGTATGTTTCTGAATTATGATCGGCATATTTATATGAGATTCCACATGGTATTCAAAATATTCACGTAGCTATTGTTGGAAAAGGCATAACTTCAGGCGCAGTAAATTAAATATATAGTAACTGCAAAAGCTCACCTTAACTCCATGCTTAAGTTGGCCAGCTCGGGAACTCTGCACCAGTGATTCTGCGGGGTAACAGCTATGAACAACTGCACGAAGTACGCGAAAGCGTATGTGAACCCCAGTGGTAGCATTGCAATAAACAACAGCTTTTGATAACGGCCCAGGTCACCCACGTGATTCAGTACAGAATCCAATATGTCTCCATCATGTTTCTCAATTTCATTCAGTTTCTCTTTTACGCACTGAAGAAAAAACGAAAAAAGTGAATAAATTGAAAAATGGAACACCTCAAAGCAAACTTATAAACAACTTGAGCAAACTCAGTAACTTTTTAAATAAACAACGCGGGATTGTGACGTCATGTTATTTAAGCTAGTCTTTTTTTTTAAATTAAGAATACTAACAGTGTCAACGTCTAAATTCAAATTTTTATTTCCCATTTTTTTTAAATACGTGACTATAATATGCAGTTCTTTCAGACGTCTTACTACGCTAGCGTCTGAAATTTAAATGTTCGAAATAATGTTGAAACCGGTAAGAAATTTCGTTTCGTTCCGTAAACCGAATTCTGAGACAGAGGCTCCGTGCAGTACCCTGTCGCCAGCAATAATGAGCCTGAGTGTGAATATGTATTCCTTATATATCTAAAGACGTTCCAATTACTCCTGAATCAAGTTCTAGGAAAAATCATGCAGTGTACATTGATTAAAAGTTTATTTCTAAATGAAAGTTTATTTGTATGCTGGTCGCCGATTAGTGTTTAGTATTAATTTATTTGTATAATAAATTTATACTTATATGTTTAAAAATTCTAGGCCTAATGGAGAGGTATAGTTGTATTTTGTGTGTATACAGGAAAATAATGTTATTGGATTTAAATTTCAAGAAAATACCAATAATTTTGATCACCAGTCTCATTTTTCATGGCCGTTAAATATCTTAAAACACTCATAATTTTTGGTAAATTTGTAATATGTTATTAAAGAAAATGAATTTGAAACTAAATTTTTGAACTTGATAATTTATCGATAGTTAAAAACTAAATATAATTTATAATTATTATTGGCCAAAGTAAATCAAAAAATCCTATTAATGGAACTATAAGTAATAGAGCATTCATTATACGTTGGTTTACGAAACTTATTTTTGCAAATTTAATTTATTTATAATATTTAGATTACATAATTATTAACAGGCTTTGATTATTGAACAAAAATTAGTAAAATATAATCCTAAAGAGAGGCCTATGTCCAACAGTGGACTATTAAAGGCTGTTGATGCGATGTGTGATGTGTGAAAATATAATCTTCCTCCGAGTATTTTTCACAAACTAGATCGGGGTCGGCTTTAAGTTTACTAAGATACAGTTGAACATCGTTTTTTCACGCGGAGTGCTATCAGACCTTCACTACCCACGTAGGTACTAGGCTATATCGAAGTTCTGAAGAAAGACTGTTGTCGGACCGACGGCTTAACGTGCTGTCCGAGGTACGGAGGGGTCTTAATGTATTAAGAATGGTCACCCATCCATAGGGCCTGGCTAGGATTACTTAACTTTGCAATATGTTAACTTACTCGGTTACTACTTAGCGACGAGCCCATCGCTGTATGTTTTACATTGATATTTTTTGTGTATTTTCATTTGTAAGGGTCTGACTTCCTTTCAACAGGCAGTTCCAGTCACAGATTTGCGACTTTGGGGTTGTCCACACCAGATACGATCTAGGGCCAATATAAATGGCTAAACAGATTGAAGAACCTCAAAAAATATTTGAAGAAACAAAAATACAGGTATATAATATACTAAGGGGACATAGGGGTTCCCACACAGGAGGGGGTTATTTACGCAAGTAGATGGCCCGAGGTACGTCGGGGTATCAGGGTTTTCCTTCCTAGGGTACACCTGGTTCCCCGGCAACTGGTACCCGAGACGGCGTGCGGTTTTTGGTCCTTTCGAGTCCGACATAACCACCGGTGGGTGGTATCCGAGGGGATTTCCGCACAGAAAAAAAAAGGTATATAATATACTATATAATTCATGAATGACATGGCGTAGTGGTTTAAGCGGTTGCAACGCCGCTTCCTACTGCGCTGAGTGTTGTGGGTTCGATCCCCACATGGGACAACACGTTGTGTGATCCACGAATTGTGGTTCTGAGTCTGAGTGTTCTTTGTGTCCGTTTCATGAATGTTTGTAAACTCCCCCGCGATACAGGATATCTTTTGTGTAGTCGGAGGTTGTCTTTTTTAAATAAAAAAATTATAGCTTTTAGATTTGATTACATTTTCATTAACATCAATATTAGTTTTTTAAAGAGATTTTTTATTTATTTAAAGGTAGATGAAAAGAAAATTGAAGGCCGCATAACCCGGGCCGAATGCATTGTTTGTTTGAATAGCTCTGGCTTATATCATCCGATCCTTTTGCCATTTCCTTCCATTCTCTTTTCTTCTTACCTACCCTTTGCTGTTAACTGTCGGCAATGTCCGTGGGGCTCGTAGCTAAGTGGTAACAGAGAGGTTAACACATTGCAAAGTTATGTAACCCTAGAAAGGTTGAGACCCCTCCGTGCCCCGGAGAGTACGGTTCACCGTCGGTCCCGGTCGCCATACCAACATTAGTGGCAATAGTTACGGGTAGTTAGATCCCTAAAAAGTCCTCTCTTCTCTGTTCTTCTCGCTCTTGGCAGAGCGGTCGTGGTCACATTGAGACGTCACAGACGAGAAGCGAACACAGCCCTTTGCATAATCGCCCGCCATATCTCCCTGTCGACAGACTGTCGGATACAATCGGACACGCAGCCTAAAAAGTCCTACAACAGTGTTTTTACAGTACTTGGATATCGTCTAGTACTTAGGTTGTGGAGGTCTGATGGTAGTTTAGCCGTATCATACTAGACTGAAAGCCGATCCTCACCTAGTTTGGTAAACAGACTGAGGAAGAAATAAGCTTGCTCCCGTTCATTTCTAGTCAGTATTTATTGTACGTAGTTAGTAACTCGGGCTGGATCTACATTTTCAAATTTTATGTGTAGCTTATTTTGATGGGTCTCATTTGTCTGACGGTCAGTTGGTTGAACTAGCAATAAGCCAGAGGTCGTGGGCTCGATTCCCACTTATGACAATTATTGCGTGATAAGCACGTTTATTTGTTGTTTTAGGATGTAGTTTTTCTCAATAATACGAATGTATTTAGAAATATATAAGTGTGTTTATCAACAGATGATGATCAGCCTATTTTGGAATTACAGAACCGTGTGGAAGATATTTTATATGCTTCTGCCTGTCTCTTCAGAACTACAGGCGTGAGTTTATTATGATGATCAGCCTATTTTGGAATTACAGAACCGTGTGGAAGATATTTTATATGCCTCTGCCTGTCTCTTCAGAACTACAGGCGTGAGTGTACGCATTTACATTAGTATTCAACTCTGACTTTCAAGAGTTAAATAATAAATAGCATAGTCATTGCTACATTATTGAGAAAATGGAATGTACAATGCAAATCACTTTTATTTTTAGAGCTCATTTAAAATGACTCAATAATGCAATTTGAACGTTTAAAAAATAATGCGAGTTCTGAAAAGCTCACTGTTTTTTTGGCTTTGTTATCTATGAGTCATGCGTAAATATGTATGTAACGAATAGAATTTTAATAGTTCTGAACAGATAATAAATAAATCTAATAGATTTAGAATTTCTTTTCTACTTTTTCCAAAAATATAAATAATATATAAATCGTGTAGAGAATATGAAAAAGAGCGTTATTAATCAGCAGGTCAGTGTTCAGTTTGCTGTTGATATCTTTATTTCATTATTATAGTAAGGTTATGAATTTTCACTGAGAGGTCTATGTTCAGCAGTGGACTGCGAAAGGCTGATGATAATGATGATTGGTTCATTTTACTTATTAATACGGAGCGGAGAAGAAATCTTAAATAAAATTCTTACAAATAACTAAAAAATCTCGCGAATTAAAAAAAAGTCAACTGAGAAAGTGCGTAGTAAGCTACGGGTTGGCTACTGCCTCTTAAAGAAAGACTTCTGTTAGGTTATTGAAATAACATAAATGACTGCACGGATGGCGTAGTGGTTTAAGCGGTCACCTCGCCGCTTCCTACTACGCCGAGTGTTGTGGGTTCAAACCCCACATGGGACGACACTTTGTGTGATCCACAAATTGTTGTTCTGAGTCTGGGTGTTCTTTGTGTCCGTTTCATGTATGTTTGTAAAGTCCCCCGCGACACAGGAATGTATTCCTAATGCGGGAGTTGTCTTTTTAAAAGAGAAAAAAGAGAAAAGAGAACATAAATGATTTTGCAAACGAATCGGGAATATTTTGCAAAACAATTCAGATTTAGTTTGTAAAACTTGCATGGAGTTACAACCATATTAGAGTCAGGGAGAACGACAAGGGCTCCTGTTCATTTAGAGTATTGAAAAGATAAATAGAGCCAAAGAAATAACAATTATAATCAACAGCCGGCCAATACCACGGCCTAACTTTCCAACAGTAGTCCACTGCTGGACATAGGCCTCTCCTTAGAAACGAGGTTTTGGCCTACTATACCTCGCTGGCCAGACGGGTTGGTATAAGGTTTATATCAAGTTTTCCTTCTTTTTGCAATGCTGGTGTCCTGAGTTATTTTGACTATAGAACATCAAATATGTTTTGTTTGTTTTTCATTTTTAGTAAGTACTATGTTTAAAATTATTCATTATTTTTAAATCTTTTTTAATCATTTTTATCAGTTGAAATGGACTGTCTTAATAGCAAAAGTAGAGTTATATCAACAATGTTATTTATTGTCGTATTCAGAAAATCAAAATTGTCTGAGAAAATCCATGCGGCAGGATTTGTTTTGTCCTATATTTCCTTATTATTCCTTAGTAACCGCACTGCTAGGGTATAATTTTGGTAACGAAAATTTGCCTGTTCAGTTTGCTGTCGATATCCTTATTTCATTAGTTTTCTCATACTGCGCCTGCGCGCCTAAAAAAACAATAATAATGATATCTTCGCACATCTCATCGAGGTCGTCTGATTCCAAACTAGACAGAGCCTGTATTATGGTAACCAAACTGCTAAAATGAAACCAAATGAGTTGAAACTAAACTGCTGATAAACATGCATAGGTATATACATTATATACAATATTTCTTCGACCGAAACGCAATCACCTTCGCAGAGTCCTGAATAAAGCCATGACCTTCTGTGTTAATGTTCAATTTTAAAACCATTCCAAAAAAATAACTAAAATAATCCTGAAAAACAAAATGATGTAACTGCTGAATAAACTTTATATCTATTTTTTAGGTCCATAAATGAACGTCTCATATAATTTGTGGTTAAGAGATAATGTATGCCCATCACCAGGGGAATCCCCAATCTTAAAAATTGTAAATGTCAACAAACGGGGAGTTCCTTAATGCAATATTT